CCGTTAAATACTAGGCACAGGAAAACAAATAACACTTGTTTTTCAGTGAGCTTTGTCAGTCATCCAAAATCTAGTGCAAACCATAGAACAGCCGGTGGTTTGGTGGCAGAGACCCAAAATATGTGAACCCTATTTTCACGAGGTGAAAGGAATAACCAGCTATTGGCTGAAGTAGTAAGATCCCAGCTTTTTTCTTTTTTAGAAATACAGAAATTATTAATAAACTCTTCACACTATCACTTTAAAGCTTTTATTTTTTCTTTTCAAATCTCAGGCCAAGAGCATGTGATCTGGTTTTGTATATCATTACTGCTGTTGCTTCCTCCATTTTACTAACTTAATACACATGTTCAGGCCTATTAAAAGGGTTCTAGTGAGTAAGGTTATTTGCTCACATAAGTGCTTTCTCATCCATAATTCTTACTCATTCAATCGCCTGAATAACTGACTCAGAAAAAGAGCTGAATTATCACATCTTAAATAAGATTACATAGAATCACACATGTAGATATTGAAGAGATTTTTTTAATCTATTCTAACAGTGATTTCTGTCAGGATACCACAAAGGATTGGGTCCCTGCTTTCCTTGATCTGATTCTCACTACTTTCAGTTGCCCAGTGAAGACATTCCTACATTATAAAAGCAATTGAGAAAGCTACCCAATCCAAGGAAAAAATTACTACTTGCTGAGTAGCACCTATAAAACCCACTTTCTGGGCAGTTTCATACAACTTCTGGTTCTCTGCCAAGACATGTTTGCAATAAACCACTTTTAGGGAAGGAGAGAAATAATAACTTGATGGAAAGGGAGACAATTATTTAGTTATATGAAAATTTAAATGTGTTATGGTGCAAGAGGTCTGACAAGGTTTCTCTGCAAGACTGACCTGTAACAAGATAAGAGGTAAAATAATTTTCTACAGGTGTTGTGTATCTTATGTATAATTGCGGTCTGTCAGAATCTAACCAGCCTAATCACCAGTGAAGATGCTCTTCAACTTCCTCTCCCGCTACCCATTTATGATACAATTTTGGCATTTATTTCCTGCTGAGGAAAAAAACCAACAACTGAGCAACTTAGCACAGATGCTAAGTATCCCCCTTGCTGAACTAAGCAAACCTTTCCACCCATGAACTGTGCTTCTGAGTGATGAGGGGGCTGATGGTCCAGCCTAGAAACACTTCAAAAGAAAATGCCCATTCCTAACCTGTTGTATTTTTGTAACATGCAAAAACATCCAATCAGACTAATATGACTAGATACATTAGTAATCAAAGTGGTGATTTTCATTTATTTAATTGAAATACAATTTCACAGAATCATAGAATGCCAGGTTGAAAGGGACCTCAAGGATCACCTGGTCCAATCTTTTTAGTTAATACTATAGTTTATATGAGATGGCTCAGTACCCTGTTAAACTGAGACTGGAGTTATATTCTTTGTTAGAAATAACTTTGAATCTTCCAGTACCATTAAGTTGTACATTTTATTTATTTATTCAAATGCACTCCCTGTAACATTTTAAGAACTTTGTTATGATGCTTTATAGGGAAAACCAGCAGCTAGTAAGAAAAAGAAATAAACAGCTAGGACTTCACTAATGGTTACAGGACCCTTTAACTACAAACTTTGACCTGACTCCAGGGATGCTGTCTTTATCAGCAGTTAAGTCCCAGAAGTTGCCATTTAAACTTTTTATATACTACTTACCTTTCTAAATAGGGATCAATCAAGGAAACAGTGCAATTCATACATTAGATACAGTATATTAATACAATTGTGAATGAATGTATTGTATGAAGAGTCATAAGGAGAAGCTGGGAAGTCAATGACTATCCTGCCTGAGGCTTCCATAGAGACAGACACAATAGTTATCACATTCCTATGGTATGCGTGACACAGATTTCTGTTTTGGGTACAGAATTCATGGCCATGACAAACTTTTTTAAAAAATTTGAAATCTTCAAATACTCTGTTTTCTGGCTTGGCTATATAGTTAAGGAGAAAGAACATGACAGAGCTGCAGAAGTATACCCTTGTCAAAGAATGGCCGAGGACACAAGCTATGCACTCAGCTCCCTTGGAGCTGTGATTTACGCTCCTAGGCTCAATTCTCCTAAACCTACTGAAGGATCTGGCAAGAAAGCAGGGAGCCTCTCCACTACTCAAGTAGAAGCTGTACATCCATCTGCCCTACAACTCATCTGAAACAAGAACTCCTGAATCTGCAACAGTCTCCTCTAGGCTAGAGGCAGTCCCAGGGATTGCAGCCTGGCATGGCTCAACACAGCCAAACAACTTTGCTGCAAAACTAAGCTCTTCAATTTCTTTTCAGCACATTGCACTCACCCAAAGGTGCCGCAAGAATTTATCCAGGATTTCCCAAGTTTTCTGTGCTGCATGATTCTGTGATCGTTTTTCAGAAGGGTTTTGGGAAAACAATGAATTTGTCCTTGTGAGCAAAGCGAAACTGCAGAAAAGACATGGATGATCACAACAGTTTAAGTTGTTCAGCCTGTAACCTCATGGTCTATCATCCCAAGTCACACGAGGTACTGAGAAACTTGAACATGAAAACTAGGGAGGCTGATGAGCCTCTGATAGGAGACTGAAGTTAGCTTACATTTGCAGCAAAAATATTGCCTTATAGAGAGAACACAGAAAATTATGCTCTGGAGTGTGAGGGACTGCAGGGACTAAACTGGGAGAGGTACCATGATATTTTTTGTTTTGCTACCTCATTCTTCAAGCTCTTTATAAGAAAAACAGAAATCTTAACACAGTGGAAGGAAGAATACATAAACTACCTGACACTTGAAAAGATTCAAGATCATTGAGGAGAGCTATTCAGATGTTTAAACATGACTAGGGATGGGTCAACACTGAAAGCCAGTTCACTCCCTGCAGTGGAAAGGCAAGCTCTGGTAACTGCACAGGTTGTGGGGAGTAGTGTTATCCCAGTGCCACAGGCACGTGCTGGGACAATGGCATGAGGCTCCCCTACTTCCAGCCCTTACTGTGATCAGCAGAGCCTAAGAGAGGCTGGAGTGCTAAGAGGAGGCCTTTGAGTGCCACCAATTGAAACCTGAACCTGTAGCATCTACCAGATTCTCCTCCCCCTCCTAAGACTCAGCCCATCCCGTCCAGCAGCATCAGCAGCCAGGTTTGCTGTGACACTTCCTGAGGTCAGACAACTTGTATGGCACAAATCTCAAGTGCTGCTGCTCACATTTTCAAGCCTGTCTTTGCAACCAGGAGAGCTTGAAATGGTTTTCTGAAGCAAACACTTAGCTAATTGTAGTTTTGGCAGCTGAGGCCTTAAGCACATTCCTATTGTTCCTATGCCTTAATGCAGGCTGCTGAAGCCCCGCTGAGCCAAACCAAGCAAGCCCAGCATGCACACAGCCTGAACACCAGCACAGTCTGCTGAGTGGAAATGGATGGCTCTCAGCAGAGCACCACTTGGCTTCCACAGGCAAGGGGAGGGGAGATGAAAAAGCCTGGAGGAGGAGGAGAGGGAAGGAGAGGGAAGGAGAGGGGCAGACATAGCTGAACACAAACTAGATTATATGGTATGGGAGTGATGATGTAGCAATTATAGGTTTAAAAAACAAACCAACAAAATCTAAAAAAAACCACCACAAAACGCTAAAACCTACTAAACTGAAAGTCCAAGACCTGATTAACTCATGAAAGGTGCCGTTTCTTTTTGCCAGGAGAGGACTAAAGACTCTTAACATACAGCTGTTCATCATCTTGTTTCTCAGTTATTTTATGAGCAGACCTGAACTATAGTGGTTGCAGTAAGGACATATAGCAGGAACAGTCAACAAGACAATAACAGTCAAATGTGTCAAACACAGTAATGACAAAATCTGAGTTTGTGAATACCTTAGAGTACAAACAAGTCCATGTTCTTTGCACTGGACAGTAATACAATGCACTGGGAACAGGACAGAATACTTCTAAGTCCAAAACATCAAGAGTACTCCTACTCTTGTACCCTGATGATGGGAAAAAGAAACCTTTTGGTGCCCAGCAAGTGATAGGGCTCTTGGTGCACCCAGGAGTGTCACCACCACAACAGGCCAACTAGGAGAGCAGTGTCTCTTTCCCAGTGTACTAATGCTGCAGCACTGTCCATCTTCTTCTCCTTATGCACAGTGACGCTGGTAAGTTCCCATCTGGAACTGCAGAAGCAGTCTTGCCTACCACTTTCTACTGATTTGCAGGAGCAAAATTAAACCCTGTAAGGATACAGCTAAAAACTATCAAATTCAGTTCTGAATTTAATAAAGAAGACTCATGATTAGACATGATGTCACACATTAAAAATTTAATCCAAACAATTTGTCTGTTTCACTACAAATAGCAAACTTGAATGTCCTGGCAAACTGTAAGAACATGATTTACAAATACTAGGTAATGTTTGGATCCAACATTATAAGCAGTGCTCCAGTATTTCTGAGAAACAAAAATGACTTCATTCTGCACTTAGCTCGTTCATTTCAATAGACCAAGCTTCATTAGAGATAACAACCCTAAATGTACATACTGAGCTCAATGCATACAGACTTCTGTTTTGGTCAGGGACCACACAACTAGCATTTACCCTTAGTATGTCTCATTTTTTTAAGTTTTTTTGCACTGCAGTACTATTAAACTTCTAATCAGGACTGGCAATCTACTATAACCTCACAGCTTTCTGCACTGGAATAGCTGCTAGTGTTAATAAACACATGATATATGGATTCTGAAAAAGCAGTGTTGGGCTTTTTTCCTTGAACTCACATAACAAGTAATTGGGTACTTTTTCCAAACTGCTTTGCCCTGCCACCTAACTGTTCCCCAGAGCCCTACACTGAAACTTGACCTCTTGTTAACTTGATTTTTTTTTAATGTATGTTTAAAAACTTTCCAAATGAACGCCATTAACTCTAAGTCTTGCACAACAAGTAGCTACGTTACAGAGCAGGCCAGAGGCCTGTGTACACTTACAAAGAAAACTCTTCGGATTCCAGGTGCCAGTCTTTCTGTTTTCAGCTTCCACACCAGAGGCAAAGGAGAGTTGAGAAGAAACACCAGAGGCTTCTGGTGAATATGCACTGATGAAATTGGATTCAAATGTAACGTGACCTACACAGAAACACAGAAATACATTAATACTTCCTTGTAAGTTTCAAAACCAAAGTGGAATTGGAAATAATGAATCATAGGTAACTTGTAGATACGTTGTGGCTTCTAGCATTCAGACCTCTTGACCCAAGATTACAGAATAATCTACCTCCTAAAAAAAAATATTATCAGTCAACAGAGCACAGATAATGTAAAGAATGAAACAGTTAACATTTGTGCTCTATGGTTGCAAAGCACTGCTAAAGTGTTTAAGAAAACCTTGGCAAGCGCTGATGAAAAATAGCTTACACAAAAGGTCAAACCACTAAGCTGAGAGTTGGAGAACAAGAAGATAAAAAGAATTGCAAAGCAAACTCCAATTTCTGGTTTCTAGATGGTAGCCTACAAAGCTGGCATGGAGTAGGAACCCCATCTGTCGATGCTATTAGGGCATAAATCTAACCTGCAAAACAAATAAAACTAAACAAACAAAAAAAGAGGAGGAACAAATCCAGACACACAAGCAAGCACCACACTAGTTCATGGAAGGAATTTCAACAGGAATTTTAACACACACTAAGAAAATGCCTGTCTTCAGGGACTAAATGGATACACAGGGAAAATTATCCCAGGAAATTGAACAACTGAGGAAACCTCTGTTGGAGGTGATATTTAAGCAACCAGATTGTGGATGCTGGAAGCCCCTCCTGCCCAGCTCCTCCAGTGCCACCCTTCTACAAAGGGGCCAATGTGGGGCAAAACCCATGACAGATAATAGCTTGTCAGTTTTTAGCATGTAACATCTGACCACATCTTCCAGGGATGACATTTGTCTCCATTTTCTGCCTCAAAAGAATAAAATACCTCCTCTGAGGAAAATGCAGAGTGTTAGCACTCTGAATGCTAACAGGATGACAGACTTCAAATGCCAAACAGTCATGATCTTAGCTATAAAAACCACTTTACAGTATCAGATTACAGAGTCAAAATTATTCTTGTTAGCTGAAAATAACAGAGATTAAGTTATTTGTTTTACAAGGTTCTTACCTTGTTGTTCTGTCTAGAATTGGTGAGGCAAAAGTGGAAAGAAAAAGGTGTTTAGAACTGCTATGAAATTCACAGCCATTAAAAAGCTTTAATTCTTGTGGTTTTTCAGCTGTACTTACAGCTAATTAGTAATAAGCAGCTTAAGCTATTAAATATAATTAGCTTGTTCTAGGTTTATGTTTTCTTACAAAGCAATAAAAGTACTGTAATCTAAGTTTACCTAAGTAGCCAAGTTCTATCTTCAACACGTTATCTTGCCTGATCTGCCAAATATGACTTGAAATTTTAATGAATTATTTTATTTTTTCCAACTCCAAATAGAAAAAAAGTGCAGAAAGTTTTACACTCTCCAAACTTCAAAATGTCAAAAAGACAATCTATTACACTAGATGGAGTAAATATTAAACACATCCACTCATCATATGCATCCATATCCACATTTTCACAACCAATGATAAATGGTTTCTTCTGACCCTAAAGGAAGTAAACAGTAATGTAAATATTGATTAAATTATCTACAATATAGGTTTATGTATGTAAAAAACCAAAAATACAAAACCAGTAACAATCCTCTCACACAGGCACACAGCTTGGGTTTGCACCTAGGGTTTTTTATCAGAATGTCAAGTCTATGCAAAGAAGAGACTTATATTAGAAATATTTAAAAAAAAATAATAATCTTTAAACCCCTTGGTATTTATTAAAACCAGAAATGATAAAAGAAATATAACAGACTCTGAAAATTTCATTTCAGAACTAGCTAGGTCAAGTCCTCTGGGTAATAAGGAAATGGAGATGTATCTCTGTTTCAGCTGATCTCTGACAAGTTTATTCAAAGGCAACATCAGTCACACAAGACAGATGTTTTAGACTTCATGAAAATTTCTGCCTCTTGGTTTTGTCACATGAGAGAGCATGCAGAGCACTGATAGTACATTAGTGAGAAAATCAGAGACTCTTTGCAACTGGATGTACTATCAGATTTTGTAGTTGCTGCTCCTTTAGACTTTGGAAATTAAATATGTATATAATATACACATGATTATTTTCCATACATGTATGGAAACAACAAAGTTTGAGCTGTATTCAGAAGTGGCAATATAGTTATCCATGCCTTTGGCTGGAAATGTAGGATAAGTTATATCACACAATGGAATTTTCCTATACATCTGCCTGAAAAGTGCAGACTGATCCTTTAGAAAAGCTACAGGACTTTAACACAATGCCAATTAATGCTTCATAAGTAAATCAGGTGTTCCTGTGAAAATTTTCAGAATAACTCTATTTTGCTTTACTGCACTCCTCAGTTTGCTCATGAGTAAGACAGCAACAAAACACAACGTAGAATTCATATTCCTAAACTTAAGAATCCAGTTAACGTGAGTATGTTCCTGCAGAAGACAGTCACTGCATTGCTTGGCATATACATTCCCTGTCACTATACTTCTTGGCATAACAGAGTCCTCAGCACCAGCATGGTTTTCCAGACTAAAAAAAAAACAAACCCACAAAGTTGCTCAACAACTGCTCAGGACCATCTTGGTCATCCCATTTTTCATAATTCATTTTTGCTTCAGAGCTAGGTCTGCTGAGGAGCAGCCAGGCAGCTTACCCTGAATGTGACTGTTCCCACTGAGAAGTTGTACTAAATATACAGACTTCTTATAGTGTAACTACTTCCCCCAATCACTGTCTGTGCTTGGTGATATATAACAGTGGTATCTATTATGGGATACTTTTTCCTGGTCCTTGGAAAGATTTTCAAGCAAACTTTTGGGGCATTACTAGTATTCAAGAGCTTTTTGCCAACAACCTAGCTGCCAAGCATACGGGTTTTACCTTGTTGCTGGGCTATCACACCATCTTATCAGTCCAAGAAGGGAAAGCATGGTCAAAACAGCCCACCAGAGAGGTGTGTGGAAGGCAACAGTTTGAACTGGGGAGTCCAGGTAAGAGCCTAGACTTCGACTCTGCACCAGAGGTACCTAAATGCCTCTTCCACTCCTGCCTTAAAGACTCAAAGGCTTAATGGGACTCTAAGGTGCAACGAGCTGGTGACATTGACACAAGCCAAGTTCCAAGCTTCAGCTGTCCTAGCACCCCTGGCATGACAGCTTCCCTCTCTCTAGCTCTGTCTTAAGCTTTCTGCTGCTTCATCCACGCTCCCAACTTCTTGCCACTCTTGCTAACTTCTGGCATGGCTGTTTTGATCCATAGCAGTGGAATATCTTCATCCCTACTCTCTACGGTAATATGTCTCACCAAAAAGTATTTTATGTTAGAGTGCCCCCACTGTGGCTCAGGGTAAACCATATATTGGCTGAATCTAAGTGGTGCTCCTCTTCCCATGGTCACCTTTCTGTCTCAATTCAACTCATGAGATCTTTCTCAAATGTGCAGACACTTCATAGCACCTCTAAACACTCCACAAATTAACAGAAAAGAACTGGATCACCTCAAACCACCAAACAATTTTTCTAATTAATAATAGAAGAGCGAACCAGAAAATGTCCCTTTCCTTTCGTATTTTCACTGGCAAAATCCATTAAATACTTAAGTATTGCCCAGAAACCCCATCATAAACCAGTCTTATATGTGTTCAGCACAGACAGACATGAATACATGGTGGGAAATTCCAAACTCATTGAATTCTGGTAGAATTAATTATTTTTCTAAACTCCAATATAAGCTTTTTTTTTTTTTTTAATATGAGGTATCTAAAATGAGATACTCTCCATCCATTCTTATAAGTTCTAAGAAGCTTATAAAATACATACTTTGCACTTACCTGCCACATACTACCTCAGTCAAAGCATCTCAGACAGCTCTATGAGCATTTTTGTCAAACAACATCAAAAGAAGGTTAAACCAGAATCATTAAATGGATTAAAGCACTTATAAGCCACCTAGTCCATTTAACAAGCAGGTGCCATTAGTCTGTCCAGGTTATTTTTAAAACATACTAATGGACAGCACATTAACCAAGCAGATAGTAGCACAGCAACAGCACAGAACCTAAGTCAATGTGGTCCAACATATCCCTTGCTCTCAGGGTTCATTTGGTCACTGAGCAGTTGCATAGCTAGCATGTTCCTTGTGCAATCAGTAGTTAGGCCAAACCTTTTGGACTTGTGGCTTAGCAAGGGTCCTCTCAGCAAGGCCCAGCTCCAGCAGCTGTCTGCCAGAGCAAGCTGCCCTTCTTGCACTCAGGCTGATTCATGGCCTCCTTTGAAACATACTCCTTCATCACTTACTTGTGATGACTACAACTTGGTCATAGGTGAAAATTAAGATTAAAGCTATTCTAAAAATCTTACAACAAAACCTACAAATTAATTTTTTAAAAGTATCCCAACAATAAAGCATTTAACTGTGACTGGGACATGAACCACAGAGAAATTTGGCATTTTTGCTAGAATACATTTTTCAGTGTATGTTATAAAAAGTGTTAAAAAAAAAAAAAGGACTTCAAGATCCCATATTTCATCGGTACCACATCTATCAAACTTACACTGGCATTACTTAGCCAGCTGTATTTCTGTGCATTTGTACTGGTCCCCACTGACGGCACTCTCTGCAGAGTTCCTTTAAGGTCTCCAGCAGCAGTGAAGTTAACGCTGCTGCAGAGGCTCCTCTGTCCCCAGAGATCAGTTTCAAGGAAGGCTGAGTATCACCACAGAAACCAACTACAAAAACAGTCTACGGGCTCCTGCCCCGTTACTCTGGGAAAGCAATTTGTACTACGTGAAAGGCAAGGGCACAAATGCTGAAAATGGATCAAAGTAAACACTGCTGTTAAAGTCCCATTTTGTTTTGCTGACTTCAAGGCATCAAATCGCAGACTCTGTTTTGTTCTAAAAAGCTGAAAATCAAGTGCCAAGGATTTGTAAGGTTGAATTAACTATTCTAATGTGAAGGCCTTTAGAGAAATTCATAGAACATTTTCCAAAACAGCCATGACAAATTTGTGCTAA